CTGGTGGAGGATGGCGCCCGGATCTCTCTCTCTCTCTGTCTCCCTCTCTGGTTCTCTGTTGCACTCTCGACCCAAACCGTGCGACGAGCGGACGGCTGTTGTTGGGCTTTTCGGCCGCGAACGGATCAGGCTGGCTGGCTCAGTCTGAGAGCCCGGGCGCGCGCGCGCTCTCAAAACCAACAGACACCCATTCACACCCACACACGCTCTCGATCTGAGGCGCGTCTCCTCCGCAAGGCCATCTCCATTTTGGAAAAGAGGGGCGGCGCCATTTTGGTCTCTAGCCTTCTCTGGCGCTTTCTCTCTCGCCTTGACTCCCGCCCGATTTCCGGCTGACCTGCTTTTTTGCGAAAAAAGGTGAAAGAACGTGACCGCAAGACGTGGTCGCAGTTCGGCCAACACTGCAGTGCTGCTGCTCCACGACCAAAAAGGGGCGGGCTCTCCTCGGCGGGGGCGGGCAACCCTCTGTCGACCGGGTGTAGCGGGCTTGCGCCAGGCCCTTGAATTGCTGGCTTTCGCCTTGGCTGTCCACATCAAGCAAAACGGCGTTTGAAGTCGGCATCTTCAGAGCGGATCGACACCAGTGACGTGGGCATGGATCAGAGACGGGCTTGCGAACGACACCAGACGAGAGTCAGGCATGGCAACTCGAGGGGAGGGGATGATGGCGGACGAGCAGCAGCTGTGCAGATCACTCCGAGTATCGGAATCGCCTTCTATCTGGACGTGAGTGAGTGAGCAATCGGGCGAGCTCTGTTTGCGGCTGTCCCGCGCGAGCATACATTCGCAGGCTTCGCAGCCGAGGTGCCAACATGCGAGCCATGCCGGAAACTGGTTCACACTCACACGCTCACGATATCGCAGCCTCGTGCGGTGAGGTCACGACACGTTGACGTGACTGACTTGCTACAGCGACACTGACGTCGCCGCGCTTTTGGGGCAACCGCACCCACTTTTGACTCTTCTCGGCCGCATGCACACCGCCAAAATTCAGATCGGGCCCTCCGTCCGGCTCGGCACGAGACGAGAGCTCGGAACATGGCCGCCGTGGGGCAGTCGCTCAAAGCGACGGGTCCGGACAGGTGGTCCGTCCGTCCGTTCGCAGGTGCAGGGTCAACGAGCCTCATGACCTGCGTTGGTCTGGTGTCATGCGCTCGACCCTTGGCCCTTCATCCACCCGTGTCACCTCTAGCGCCTCGGAGTGGCCGAGCGATTTCGCACGCGGGCCCGACCTCTCTTGCTTGCTAGAGGCGAGCTAGCGCTGCTCGCGACGAAAAGCAACCTGTTCAGTGCGTATCAAGTGGTCCGTGGGACGAGGGGAAATCCAGTGCCTGCCTGCCTCCCTGCCTCCCTGCCTGTTGTCACCGCGCCTCGCCTCGCATCGCTCGGCACACTAAATTTGGAGGGCGCCGCCTCTCACCAGGCCGCCGTGGTGGGGCTGGCAAGCAATTCTCTAAAATCACACTTCGACCCGTCTCTGCCTGCTGAGGGAGAGAGAGAGCGAGAGAGAAAGAGAAAGAGATAGTGACGGATGGGCAGCGGATTGATGCCGTGAACCCTGAGCCCGCCGAGCGAGCCAAGCAGCAGATGCAGGACCGTAGCAGCTTCATCCTCACCAAGGTTTTCGTTTCGGCTACAACCGCGCCCACCATCCTCCTTCACCACCCTTACATCCACATCGGAAGCCTACCCTCGTTGATCCCGCTCGCTCACAATCGTCACCTTGCGCACGCACGCATACCTTCCGTCCTAAGCCTCCCAATAACTCACGCGCCGTGCGCAGTCGTTTTTTCATCTTGCTCTTGCAGCACTCCGCGCCTACATCCTCACGCCACGCTCGCGATCACCGCTCACCATGCTGCCCGCCCAGAGAAACAAGGTCGACATCTCGTCGCTCAACGAAGAGGAGCAGAAGCTCTTCCGACTTTACGGCAAGCTTCCCAAGAAGGACCTGCTGCAGAACAGGCTCAAGGAGCGCAAGTACTTTGACTCTGGAGACTATGCGCTCTCCAAAGCGGGAAAGGCACCGCAGCAGTCGGTCGGTACCGCCATCCCTAACCCCGAGATGATCCCTCACGCCTCGACGGTCACCTCGCCCGGCGCGAACGCGGTTTCGCCTCCCGGCTCGCTTCCTGGTCAGCAAGCCGGTGGCCTGGCCGGTCCCGTCAACGTTCCTGGAGCGGAGCGACTCGCGTCGCGCCCGCAAGTGAGCGCATTCCCCATCAGCGGAGCTGGATCCAGCCCCGGTAAGGAGAGCAGCTCCCTCGGTCGCGAAGAGCACGTCGTCAACGCGGACGACGATGCGATGCAAGACTAAACGCCAGCACCGATGCCGTTCATCATCCTTCCCCCAGCGTCTACAGCAGCTTCCTACAGCGTGCACATCATCCATCTCCACTCCGTCTCTACTCTGTCGTCGTCACCCGCCGTATGCCTCGGACCGCGCCCTCATTCGCAAGATTTTTGGAACAACTCGGCATCCCCCTTCTCTGTAGCTCTGCACGTGCGCGCCGGGCCACGGCAGCAGACGCCAGGGTCGCTCGTCGCTCACATTGGACAGCACCGCTGCCATGTACAGCAGGGCCAGTCGATGGCAGGCACGCGAGCTTTTGCGTTCCAAACTTCGCTCGTCTCGGTGCTCTCTCCATGGTCGTGTCGAAAATGGACGACGCCTTGCCCGAGTCATTTGCATCTTGGTAGCGAGCGTGGCTCCGGGAAGGCGCTCCACAGGCTGGGCGGAAGGCGCAGCAATATGCTCTCAGCATCGCGCTTTCCCTTTGCCTTTGAAGACCCCGAGGTTGCGCGCCATGATGCCAGTAGGCGACCGCGCGTCTTGGTCTCGTTCGACGCAACAGAGCATTGGTAGCAAGCGCCTTTCTGCAGCGCAGGCCGGCATCTAGGCTCGCTCTTTTGATCCCGTCGCCCCTTGTTTAGCTTTCTTGTCTTGGTTCGTGTATTTGGGACCCCTTATTGCAATGCAGTTTCTTCTCGTCTTGGCGCGTATCCCTCTCCTGGACACGGATGTGGGTCGAGACTGTCGGTGAGACTTGTGCCTGAAGGAGCGGACAGGATGCCGCCGCCTATGGAGGAATTCGCCTCGATTTTTGAGACCTCAATTTATGGGCCATATTTTTGGGGTTTATTTTCCGCACAAGCAACAGGGGCAAGGCTGAAGATCAACAAGGCTCTTGAGACGGCGAGGCGGCAGGCAAGGAAATGGGGATCGCCGATCTGGCCTCTGATTTTGTCTGACGTGCGACGTGCGGCAAGGCAAGGCGGCGATCCGGATAGGACTGCACATTCCAACTCAGCGGATTGGGCGCAGCGGTCCGCTCGGATGCGGAGAGAGAGGCGCGTGCGGTGGGTTCCACCCGTCCAGGCGAGAGAGGTGGTAACCACCCCGCATCTCGCTCCACAACTTCCGCCGAGTCTCTCTGCGCAGCAACGGGCGATGCGACGGCTCAGTCGCAAATGCACATCGGAGGTTATGGATGCCGGTATGGGAGGAGATGCAGACAGCAGGACAGTTCGCAAAGAGGCAGGTTGTGCGGGTCGCATGACAGGATCGGCATATCTGCTCGGTAACTCGCGCCTCTTTCGCGTTTCACTGACACCCCACTCCCACAATGGGCGCTCGGACAGCAGTTCGCCGAGCATAGCATGACTGTAGTGCATCAGCCTTGGGCGCGTAGTGCATCAGCATTGGACGGCGCCCAAGACGTCGCAAGTCAACGCAGAAGCCACACTGCACGCGAGCGCTTGGTGTCAGACTCGAAGCGCTGTCAAAGCAGAATCGTGTGCGCAGTAGATCAGGCTATGCTGGAGCTTATCCTGCGGCATGAGCCTGCAGATCGATGGCTTCTGTCAGACGAGTCTGGGACAATGCGCAGCCAGCTTGGGCCGGTTTGGGTGCCGAGCTCGGCGCCGAGAGAATCCACCGAGACGCTGTTGCGCACCGTCCCCCACCCACGGACCTTGAGCATGTGGAGATTCCGCACCTTTCACAATCCGCCGAGGTTACCGCCCTCACTTTTTTTTCAATGGCGGAGGAAGCCCTCCCCCGCACACACTCTTGTCCTACCTGTCTTCGCCGGTGTTCGTACGACCTACTATAAGTAGACCGACCGTTTCCTGGAATCCATCCGCTGCGTAAGAGCTGAACTAGCCGCTGCTCCTGGATCGTCTCAATTGCCTCTCGACGGAGAAACTTCACAAGCATGCAGTACAAGCTCACCACTTCGTCGCTGCTGGGCGACTCGGCGCTGGGCAAGCTTGCGGCCCTAGCACAGCGACATGCCCCACAGACGCCGCTGGGCTACGTCGTGACTGCGATCGGCACCTCGGCGCTGCTGTTCGGCCTGCTGGTGTTCGCCCTCATCGTGCGCATCATCTACAACACCACGCTCTACCACTACTACGTCTCGCCGCTGCGCCATATGAAGGGTCCCAAGCCCAAGCTGTTCATCGGCAACATGGACGAGTTCATCACCAAGCCCGGTGCGGTGGGAGAGATCGAGTGGTCGCGCAAGTACGCCGAGAACGGCGTCTTCCGCAGCACGTTCATGTTCGGTCGCGAGGCGGTGCACTTCATGCGGCCCAAGGCTCTGCGCCAGATCCTGGTCGAGGATCCGTACAGCTACCCGAAACCGTCCATGGCGTGGAAGCTGCTCGGCCTCATTGCCGGGTACGGTCTGCTGACGGTCGAAGGCGACACGCACAGGAAGATGCGCAAGACCATGAACCCGGCCTTCTCGCTCACCAACCTCATCGAGCAGTTCCCAGTGTACTACGACAAGGTTTATCCGCTCGTCGACGTGTTGCGCAAGAAGATCGACGAGTCGTCGGAAGAGCATGCGATCATCGACTGCGACGCCTGGGTCAACAAGGCGCTGCTTGATATCATCTGCCTCACTGCCTTTGGCTACGATGCCGATTCGGTCAACAACCCGGACAACGAGCTGGCAAGCGCCTACCATGCCGTGACCAGCATGCAGAACGGCCAGAACCAGGCACGTCTCAACCTCGTGCTCAACCTGCCGTTTGGCGACACGGTGCTCGACTGGGCGTCGGACGTGAGTGGATGGGAATGGGGACTCAACAGGTTCGGCAAGGATTCGGCGGCGCAGACGTTCTTCCAGCTGCTCAACGGCATGCACCGCATCAAGAAGGTGTCCAAACAGATCCTGCACAAGCAACTCCACTCGGGCGAGCGCGCGGCTCAAGCAGGCCAATCCAAGGCGATCATTGACATTATCGAAGAGACGTATCTGTCGGAAAACGACGGCAAGCCAAAGAGCCTCAAGGATGCCGAACGCAACATGATTACGCAGGTGCTCACCTTCCTGGGAGCGGGTCACGAGACTACAGCTTCTGGTGTCTCGTGGACGCTGTGGAACCTGGCTACGCATCCCGAGGCGCAAGACAAGCTGCGCAAGGAGTGCAAGGAGCTCATGGACCAGGACGAGCGTCCGCCATACTCGGCCGTCAAGGCCTTGACGTACCTGGATGCGGTGATCAACGAGTCGATGCGCATCACGCCGCCCGTCCCGCGCACGGTGCGCTGCGCAAGCAAGGCATCGTACATCGACGGCGTCTACATCCCCAAGGGCACGCTGCTTCCCATCTCGAACCGTGCCATCAACATGGACCCCGAGGTATGGGGTGCTGATGCCGACGAGTTCAAGCCAGAGCGATGGTTCAACCTCCCCGAAAAGTACGACCGCACCTTTTCCATGATCACCTTCATCGCCGGCGCACACGGCTGCATCGGCCGCACCATGAGCTACCTCGAGATGAAGGCCACCATCTGCATCCTCGTCTCCAACTTCCGCTTCGAGCCCATCTCCAAGGACCAGAGCCCGGTCATGGACGCCCTGATCACCATGAAGCCAAAGGACGGCCTCCCGCTCAAGGTGTTCAAGGTGTGAATGCCTCGAGCTGCACATGTCTCGCATGCTCTTGTATATCGTATACCTCTCATCCTTCGAGTTTCGAGTGGAATAGCATACTCGTTGTCTCTTTCTCTCTTCGCCAACAGTGTGCACCACCAGCTTGGCCCCTTGACGTGCTCATGCCAAAAAAAGTGCAAAAAGAAATGCTCCGTACTGGGCTCGAACCAGTGA